CAATTTCTGCTCCTTCGTGCTTCCCATCACGTGGTGTGGTGTTGGAGTGGCTGTGGCATCTGGGGATCCAGTTAATATAAGTTCAGTTGGGGACACATTTCATCTGAGTTGGTGGACTACATTTATGTGGTTCACAGACACTTCCTGTATAGACAAGTTACGGATCCAATCCTATGTGGGAATGGTCTCCAGGGAAACTCCTACGACCAACTGTGCCAACTCAGCGTCAGGACACAACGGTGCAAGGATAGATGTCACTTGGAGATGTGCATGTGTTCTCTGGCACTCAGCTCTGGAATTTTGTGAGCAGTGGTGAGAAAACAGTGTGATATGCAGGGAGCCAGAAGCCATTCTGCAGACAATCCTTTCACTGTCAGACAAATGAAATAATAGGTAAAAGATATGATTCTCATCAATACCTGCTAAAAATGGAATCTCTCTCCTCCCAGATAACACGAAAGTCCTAATATGCCAGGGCAGTGAGGACAACCCATGATGCCCTGGTAAATGAGTGTTATCAGTTCAAAAAGTATTCAAAATTAGTTACTGCACAAGAAAATTGCAATGCTCTGAAAACTTATAGTTCATATAAAAGAAACTTGACAGAGATCTTCAAAAATCCAGCAAGAACCCTAAATATTACATGATATTACCAACAATGGGTAATGAAACTGAAAGAAACTTTTCTAAACTATTAAAATAAATTTTGATCAACTACAATAAAGGAAAGATTAAATTATCTTTCTAGTCTCTCTATAGAAAACATTACAAAATCATTTTCATATGAAGAGTATGACCAAAGATTTTGCAGACTCCCCCCAAAAACTAAGCATAAAAAGTGCTAGAGGGGTATGTCAAGAAATTAGCATTTTAATTAATACTATGTTACTTTTCTGGATTTCTCTGATGCTTGTGTATTTGTCAGCTTTTTAAATTTATAATTGTTTTGATATCTTCTCTCATTCTAAATAAATTTTCACATTTGTACCTAATGTGGTACTCTTTCCTCAAAGAAAGCCTAAAAATCTGATTACACTTCAGGCCCTACAAAACCTAGATCCACCCATGAGAGCCATACTTTGAAAATATCATTTTTTAAATGTGTAAAATAGCATTATTACTACAGTAGAAGTCTATAAAGGCTTTCTGCTTTCAAGTGTCTTTCAAGATAAAATCCTTGTAGTAAGAAAATCTTATGTTCCCAGGAGATAGCTATGGAAGAAAATAACTCAGCTGTTCTGAAATATTGGTACACGTCACTGCAGTCAGTTCTGGCAACACAATGCTCACTAGAGAAATGATTAATCTTTCTGTTTTAACATCATTTAGACATTCATTCATTCTTCAACCATATCTATGGTCAAAGCACTGTGCAGCAAAGTTCTAACCACTGCTATTTAACAATTAAATGCATTCTTGATAAACTCCCCTATGGTCCTCATTTCTTTTGCTTTCTCATTTCTAAAGAATTTACCATCTCCAACTCATGTGCACGAAATAGAATAACAGACATATGCCAAGAATGTCACTGGGTAAAATGTGGAAAAGAAAGAAAAGCTTAGTGCTCCCCAATGACTGTTCACACAAAAAGACAATAGTTACTGTCTTTCCTATTGGGAGAGGTCAAATGCTTTAGCTCACACACTTGCATATGAATTGGTCCCTACCAAAATGGATGGTGACGTGAATTGAAGAGTGTGAATGTACATTAATATTATACTGAACCAGAATAATCCAAGATGTTTCTGATCTCATCACTGCAAGCAGATAAAGTCTAAAAACAGGAATGTGGCAGACCTGCTGTGTGTCTGTGGATGTCCATTCTCCTTCCTTACCAGCAGTATCCTGATTTTGAATGCAGTGGCAATGTGCCATCTGGTAAACTACATTTCCCAGCATTCTTTGAAGCTGGAAGTGTCTATGTGACTGAGCTCTGGCCAACGAGACGAAGGCACAAGTGACTAGGCGGGGCTCCCTAGGAATGCTTTGTAAAGGGAGCCACTCAGATAGCAGCATCTTTTGCCCTTTCCCCTACTTCTACCTGGGATTCAGAGGTGATACTGTAGGAGAGGCAGTCATCTTAACTGCCAGAGGCAACAAAAATGAAGTCACAAAGTTGCCTGACCTGTAGCTATGAAAGCACGGAGCATGCATCGCTTACCTTCCTGGACCGCCTACCTCTAGATGCTTGTTAGGTTTAAAATGCAAATCCTTATTTGTTGAGTCCAATTCTGTTCACTGCAACTATACTCAAATTCCTAACTGATACAAGGAATAATTGAGATCTCTATTTTTATTTTCCTTACACTATTTGTGATACTTATTATTCTTTAAAACTTAGGAGAGCTAAGATATTTAGAGAGAGGGAGGAGGAGGAAGGGTAAGTGGGGAGAGGAGGAAGTGGCGAGATGGATAGGAAGCTATAAAATGTGGAGGTAGCAAAGAGTGGTATATCTGGAACCAGGCTAACTAGGTTAGAATCCAAGCTGTGCTACCCAGGTTCAGTTCATTTAGTCATTTAACAAATATTAACTGAGCACATACAATGTTCCAGGCACAGTTCAAAGTGCTTAGAGGTAAACTTAACCTCTTAGTGCCTCAGTTTCCTTGGTTAAGTGGAGATACTGATAATAGCTACCTCAGGATGTTACAACAAGGATTAAATGAGTTACTATTTGTAAACATCTGGAGCAGTCTGTGGCATCTGGTAAGTGTTTGATAAATATTGGCTATTAATACTAAAAATAACTTTGTAAAAATAGTAACACATAAAAACCAAATTCACTTGTATTATTAAGCAAAAAATATCAAGCCACGAAACGGCCTCATCTCATTTTTATCTTGGAAGAGACACACGTATATTCAATAAGACCAAAATAACATACAAGATGACCGAAGTTCTCTCTCAATAGTGAGACTATGATGATTTTAACGTACTTCTTTTTGCCTCTTAACATTGTCTAAATTTTCACAGTGAACATGTATTCTTCTTGCAGTAAGACTGATAAGGTTATGCCTAAGTTATGTGCACAACTCCAATAGAAAATATTGCCGTGTAGGGTCATGAAGCCTGACCAAGCTCATGTAGTTTGGGCTTCTTCCTGAAGGGAGGGGGCCTTCTCGTTGCCAATCCTACTAGGAAGAAGTCATCCATGTACTCAACTCAAATTCAGGGTTTCCCTTACTAAAGGAGAAGGGCGAATGGATATTGAGAGACAACATCTCTGCCACAAGTGGGAGGTGAGTCAACAAGGATTCACCCCTATGATGGTTGGGCAATTTGAAGGCCTGAGTAGGGCTGTCTCGACAAAGTTGAGTAAGTAGAAGAGAAAGAACGTGTAACAATAAAACAATTTACAAAACAAGAAAAAAAGAAAGAAGAATGGAACCAAATACAGCATAACAAATAAATACATAATCTACTCAAAGAGAAGATATACCCCAAGAAACACAACAAATTTCAATACAGTAAATCTTTCCTGCCCTTACGGAAATTCTCCACAATTACAGAAATTAAAGAAAATAAAGACAGTAGAATTTAGTATTTTGAATGAGATTGTAGAACTCAGGGGAAAAAATAGGAATAAAAAAAGATCGCTAAGACCCAGCATAAGCTAAATGCAGAAAGGAACATAGTCAAAACGGGGGAAGCCAAGTCAGTGCCCTAGAGTCAGCCTTGGGCAAAAGCACACGAGGAAGAGATGGAGACAGAGACAAAGCAACCTACAGACAATAAGAGCACGGGGCAGGCACAGGAGAGCCACATGCGGTCTGATGTCATCGAGCAGAGGACAAAAGGACAGAGCTGCCACGCTCCAAAAAGCACTAACCAACAGATCCCAAAGGAGACTTTCCTAATGGGAAGAACAGGATTATATTCCTGAAAGTGTTAAAGAGAAAAGTAAGATTTCCATAAAATCCAACTGATTAAACAAAATAGGTTTCTTCCTGATTAAACCAAAAAAAAGAAAACAAATTCTTAGTGAAATAGATATTAATATAAACCACAAAAATCCAACTTCACGCTTAATGGTGAAAGACTAGAAACCCTCCCAGTAAATTCAAGAGTAAGGTAAAGATGCCCACCAGAACCATGATATTATTACTTAAAGATTATATCATTATGGTCTTTTGAAATATAATTTTGAAAACTCAAGAGAATCAACCGAAAAGAAAAGTATTAGAAATGGGATCAGTAGGGTGGCTTGGTACAAATAGTATTTTGTTTATTTGTAATAATCATAAGTATTTTACAAATATTAATTTCAATTTGAATGTTAACAAAACAAATAAATGCCTTGAAGCAACTTAACAAAAACCATGCAAACTTAACAGAAAACTGAATGAATTCAATTCAACTGAGAGACAATAAGAGAAGATTGTTTAAATTAAAAAATGCACCTTGTTCTTAGATAGGAATTCACACTTGTAAAGAGGTCAGTTCTCCCAATTGAATTTATAAATTCAATGTGATAGTAATAAAAAACTCCAGAAAACTCTATTTTGTGAGGAAATGGGTAAATTTGACAAAAAGACCTAAAAATAGACATACAAGATATTTGGGGAAAATCTAAAGAAAAGGAAAGCAATAATTGAAAGCAGGACCTCCGCAATGAAAACATTACACCGTTTCACTAATTTATAAAATATGATCATCTCAGATTAATAAATATCAGTTAATGGAATCGAATAGAATATAGACCTAAACACAGGTATATAGAAAAATTTAGTTTGTGATAAAAGGTGACATTTCAACACTGTGAGGCAGAGATGTTAGGGCAACACGCTAGCATTTGGAAAAAAAATAAAGCTGGATTCCTGTCCCACTCCTTCTACCCAAATAAATTTCAAGTAGAGCAAAAATCATAATATAATAACTTCAAGGGTCACAAGGAATGTTTTGCATGTGATGGAAATGTTCTAAAAATCAGATTTTCACAATGGTTGCATAACTCTGAATTCACTAAAAGTTGTTGAATTGTACACTTAAAAAGGGTGACCTTGTTGGTATGTAAATTATACCTCAATAAAGCTGCTAAAAATTTTAATTGTAATATAAATAAAAGATGAAACCACAGAAGTACTTGAAGAAAATATGGTTGAATATTTTTTAAATCTTGGATTGAAAAGCCTTTCCAAACTTGACACAGAGACCAGAAGGCAACACAAACTTGAAACATGTGTCTGCATAAAGACAATAAACAAAACCCAAAGAAAAAGGCAAACTGAAAAAAGTGTGCAGCGTGTATGACATAGGACTAACTTCTATTGTACATTCAATAATAACAAAACTAGCTCAATATAAATATAATAGTTCCTCTGTCCATCCTGCCTCCACATGTGATAAATTGATTATTAAGAATGCATTATCACCAATTCATACCAAGTATTATGAATCTGATAGCCAAATCAAAAAATATGCCCCAAGAGGAAAGCTTTCCGAATACCTTAGATCCTCAAAGTGGTCCATGAAGCATCAGCATCACCAGGAGCTTTCTAGAAAGGCAGCATCTCAGTCCCCATTCCTGTCCTCAGTCAAAATCTGCATTTAACAAGATCCCACGTGATTCAAACGTATGTCAAAGTTCCAGAAGCACTGCCTCAAAGCATCACATTCCTTTTCTGCCTGACAATTCTGCTTCAGAGGCAAAACGCTCATCTAACAGTCTTTGGGGTCTTCGGATCTAGGCTCATTGCCTTGGAATTAATTCTCACGTGTAAAAGGCCACCAGGAAAAACAGCACATGGGAGGTTACTTCAAACAGCCTCCCAAACGTGCATTCTTCTCCACTGAGCTAGACCAAGAAATCTCGATGATAAAATGAGCTCATTGTGCAAAAACATTCTATATTTCTTATTTCAGTGGAGTTTTTCTTAAAGTTCCAATCCCACCTACTCGACTGGAAGCAGCCCTGCTCTGAACCATCGCTGGCTCCAGCACAGTGATTAGACACAGTTGTTTCTGACCACGGAACCATAATTCATTAGTTGAGTTTAAGGAATCTACGGACAGTCACTTTATCAGAACCATCACCACCCAGGCTTCACCACCTTCAAGGAAATGGTCAAACCAAGCCATGAGAATCGTGCAGACTTCACCAAAAGATGCTCAGGAGCAGATTGGTGGAGTAGGTTCCCCTACAAAGGTTGCCAGGTTTCTCTGGGCTCAAAGGCCACTTCGTGTTCAATAATGAGAGTCATTCCTACCAAAATACTAAAAGAACAGTTTGGTCTATGCTCCTCTGGGTGAAATCCTCCCATACTGAATTGAGGACTTATAAGATTATTCTGAACACTATCCTGTCTTCATCTACCCCTCATTCAATTCCTTTAATAACATTGTTGGTGTTTTATAAGTCAAAAATAAAAGGCAACATTCAGACAAAACTTATCTTTGTCAAAGTAGAATTCTGAAAGGAGAAAAATTACCTGGTCTGGCCTACTTTGGGCACCAGAATTTTGACTCTGATCTACAGGTAGGCTATGTTCAGTTTAGGTTCTATTATGTGACACTGCCAGCCCTGGTGGTCTAGTGGTTAAGAGATTTGGCGCTCTCGTCACTGGGGCCTGGGTTCATTTCCCAAACCACAGCACTCCTCAGTGTGTTGGTTGTCATACTGTGGTGGCTATATGCTGCTATGATGCTGAGAGCTATGCCACTGGGATTTCAAATACCAGCAAGATCACCCATGGTGGACAGGTTTCAGAGGAGCTTCCAGACTAAGACAGACTAGGAAGGAGGACCTGGCCACCCACTTCAAACACATTGGACATGAAAACACTATGAATAGCAGCAGAGCGTTGTCTGATGCAGCGCTGGAACATGAGAGGATGGAGCAAAAAGACAGGGAGGGTGCCACTTTGCAGTACACAGGGTCACTAGGAGTCAAAATCTAATCGAGGGCACTAACGACAACACATATGACACTATCTACAGGCCTTATTTAACCTGGACTTTACAGAGCCAACAAAAGCTTGATTCGAACAACTGAATCCAAACTCTATCATTTAATGGTTTCTGCTTGCTGGTCCATAGAACAGCGCTGGGCTGGCTCATAAGAATCACATTGGAAACATTTTTAAAATATAGATCCTAAGGGCCCTATCCACTGGATTCAGATTTCTTAGACTAGCGGTGAGGTCTGGAACAGGCATTTTTTACAAACTCCACCAGATGACCCTGATGTACAACTATGGTTGAGTACAAACACAACAATTCTAATTCATGGGTTCTGATACCCAATTCTCACTCCTCCACACTTCATAGCTGGTAACTATTAACATGGTATTTCCTTACTATATTCAACAGGACACACTTTTCTTGAGATGTTAATAATAAATATCTAAATAAGCAAACACAAATATGGTTTATATTCAAATAGGATTGAGAAACACTGTCTTCAAATAAAGTAAGACTATTTCCTTTAAATAACAATGTGTATTACACACCTCCACCTGGGAGGATATGGTATGTAGCGTTTCCATAATTTACTTGACAAGGAACTCTCTTTTCGGTGTGTCCTGTCTATACATCTTGCAGAACTGGTGTTCTGTAAAACACAGTTCAGGCAACGGCCTCAACCGCGGTGACAAGGAAGCAGTATCTGGGATGCTGCTCTCTGGGTCTATGATGAGCCCCATGGTTCTTGCTCCTCTCCCCTCTTCCTGTCTCCCCCATGTGGCGATCTCTCCTCCTTTCAGCCCCTCGTGTCTGGTCACAGGTAGCTCTCTCTCTGGGTCCATGCACTTGCTCATGCATAGTCACGGAGGATTAAGTTGTCACCACTGATTAGCATGAAAGGCTCTGCTTGCCTCTAGCGGTTTTGCAGTACTGTTGTGCCTCTGATGGCTAGAGCTCTCTGCCTCTCCCACTGGAGCACAGGTCATCTCTGCAGATGTCAGCATTCCTACGTGCTGAAAGGGCAGCCATAAGTACCCTCCATTTGAGCGTCTCCATTACCATTCCTTCCTGACACCATTAAACACCTGCAGGCAACCCCAGGATATTATAGTTTTCATTCTTCGTGCCAAATATTGTACGGGTGAAACTAAAAGGTGTTACAGATACAAGAACCTATTCCTCATCACCACAATCTTGAAAGTCCCAAGACAACCGGGAGGATGCTAGGAGACTTTTCTAGACAGATGATGTCCTTCACAGAATGGACGTCGGTCAAGGTCCAAGTCAGAAACAGGTGATCGCATGGATTTTATAGGCTTCAAATATTACAGTAAGTTCCAGTTCTCTCCCAGTTCTATCCCTCTCTCCCTCATTATCACTATGGCATCTATAAGACAAAAGAGAAATCAGGGGGCAGGCCCCCTGGCAGAGTGGTTAAGTTCGCGCGCTCCACTTCAGTGGCCCAGGGTTTCGCTGTTTCGGATCCTGGGCGCAGACATGGCACCGCTTGTCAGGCCACATTGAGGCAGCATCCCACATGCCACAACTAGAAGGACCTACAACTAGAGTATACAAGTATGTACTGGGGGGCTTTGGGGAGAAGAAGAAGAAGGAAAACACATGTTCTTTGCATTTCCCAATCCATCCTCTACTTCAGAAAGAGGTAATGTAAAATGTCTAATGTAAAAAATCAGGAGAGGAGTAAAAGGGAACACCAAGCAAAACCATCATGTCGTATCCAGCCACTCAAAACCAGGCTGTTCTGAAGAGGTAATGTCCGATAAGAAGAGAGGCAGCAGATGTGAAAGATTTTCACCCCTCAATGCTGTCTTACTATTATCTCTCCACATGAGTAGTGTCGTGCTCTATGTGACTGATTCATAATTATCCATCTCCAAAGCAGACTACAGAGCTGGCCCAAAACCAAGGTCTGTGAAGTCTGGGTCAAGCAAGTGTGCAAATTGACCCTGTGGCCTCACCATGGTGGTCATATTTGAAACTGTCCCTCCAAGGGTGACTTGACAATGGGTGGCAGCAGAAGCTTTAACAAACTCCTCTGGGGACCAAGGGAACTGATGGCTCTGTTATAGCTACTGAGGACAGACCAAGCCCACAGGAGAAGACAGGAGCTGCTCTTCTCTGGCCCTTGCGAGTGCAGAGACCTTACCCCCCGGTCTCTGCTCTTCTCCAAAGAGGAACTCACGGCCAGGCAGCAGTTATCAGCTACTGGAATTGCAGGTGTTTTGACAGTTGAAGGATCTATATTTCTGCTCCTTTGAATTCCTATTGCTTGTTGTAAAATGTGGAAGTGGTTGTCCCAGAGAGCTTTCGCGACAATGAAGGACTGTTTGCTAAAGGCCTGACTTTATTCCTCATTTGTTTTTTTCTGTTCCCTAAGCCAACACTGAAATAACCAAGGACCAACCTGCCAGTTCCAGGTAGTAAATGGACCAGGGGCCACAAAGCAGTGAGATCCACATTGTCTGGAATATGCAATGAATTGAAAGCAGACAGCAGTTAGGCCAGGAAGCTTGGCAGCACTGATTGAATAAGTTCAGCCTTTGTCAAAGAAAAATATGCCCTATGAATTAGAAACTGGAAATCAGAGAATGCAAGGCCTGCCTCCAGCCTTGTGTTTAGTGACCTGGCAGATAAATTCGAATATGATACCACAGAGGATGCGCCTCTAGATTTCTGGGTGTGGCGGCCATGAGAATGCACCACTCAGATCTCCTGCTGGCAAGAGCAGAATGGACCAACAGTCCCAGCCGCAACCCTCTGGATCCATCACCATGTCTGCATCAAGGTCATGCTGCCCCTAGGCTGCCCCAAATCTTGACCATGGTGGGGATGCGAGTGCAGTCCATCCTGGACAATGTGAGACTCCCCTAATGGACGACTTGGCCTGGAGAACTCGCCATCGATCCAGCTGAGACATTCTTAGAACTGCACTGCAAGCTGAGGCTCTTCCTGCCAATTCCTCCTTCTTTCCCCCTCTCCTTCCCAGGTCAGACTTGCATCACAGTCTGAAGCTCTGCCCCCTGCTCTCTTCCTCTTTACCTTTCACAGGCATTTTCCTCAAGAAATCTGCTTGTCTAAGCCCCTCTTGGTGACTGCTTCTCAGAGAACCCAACTGATGCAGAGAGTTGACATGAAATAGTCAACAGTTGAATCTTGACTTTAACACCTTCAAAATCTTTTCCTATACATAATCTTATTTGATCCATGAACTATCTGTAAGGTTTTCTTGAGATCTTTTATGAACACAGAAGTTCTTCCTCTTTAAATTAATAATAACACTCTACAAGTATCTGCGATCATACACGCCTGTTGAGAATAAGCTATATTAAAGATCAGCTGTACTTTTCATTCATCCATTCAACAAATATTGAGTCACTTCTATGTGCCCATGGACAAAAATTCTTTGCTTGACCAATCTTTAGTCAGGTTCCTGAACCTTCTCCTAGGCCCATCTGTACATGTCTATGTAAAAGCCAGTATTAACAAGAACCCTGCTAAGTCAGCTTAGCAAGAACCACGCCCCCCCCCCCACCTCGACACCTGCTCACCCTCGACATCCTCCAACGTCCCCCAGGTGATGTCCGATCCTGGCCTGTCTTCAGTAAGAATCCTGTTAGAGA